TTTTAATTTTACTAACTGTTAATTTGTTTTTAACTAACTTCTTTTCTATGACATATACTTGATATCGTAACGATTTTTTTTTTTTTCAATTCGATTTTTTTTTTCAATTCGATTTTTTTTAATTGTTTTCAAAATGCTCGTAGAGAGAGAAATTATGCCAAGAAAGATTTTTAAAAAAATATAATTAAACATCCAAATGATTTTTACGAGTTATACTTTGGATTCATCCTTATGAGTCCAAAGTTCGAATTATAAATCGGAGGTACCAAACTTAAACAAGTAATAAATTCAATAAGCGTTTTAACAGAATATGGAAAGTGCGACATTGAAAATCACTGTCAATTTTTTTTCTTTACTCTCAATTGATTAATGTTCAGGGTTTCGCGTGAACACTCGCACATGCACACACACTTTTATATATCCGATTACTAACCCTAAGTTTACTTAAAGGTCAGTTCAGATGAATCTCTGCTACATGTACGCTAGGCTTTATTTGCGCCCTAATTAATGCATTTATAGGTACAGTGTTTGGTTTGAAGCCGTATCTTAAATATATGAGAAGCATTTTAATGTTCGATTATAACTCTCCTTCCCTTTTTCTTTATCTGTGAATAGCCATGGTTATTTGCGAATAACAGTGGAGCCGTTTGCTCCCAGATTTGAATTCGGAGTTGTTCTACTAATACAAACATTTTAAATAGCCTGTCCCTTAAAGACATAGGCAATAATGGCTTTGCACTGATTTCTTTTCTTTATTATTTGAATTGCCGTGATTACATGGGAATGATATTGGAATGTTTCTTGTTACTGTAGTTAATCAACTTACGCCAAGTGAGGCAAGAATGCCACTAAGACGAAAGAGAATAAGATAACTTTACAAGCAATCTGAAACGCGATCATAAATAGAAAACAAAGGCCGTTATCCTCATCTTCATTGGCATATTCACAACGTTTCGGCCGTTGTACGCTCCGGTCTTCTTCAGATGATTAGAATTTCGAACCGAACCCTTTATTTAGTCCACCGGGGTAGATTGTTCTAATTCCATGTGCCATGCCTCTTCCGTACATCGGCCGAAACGTTTTGAATATGGCAATGAAAATGAGGATAACAGTCCGAATAATGTAAATGATGCAAGTAATCATAATACCTCATCTCAGATATATAGAGATAGGAAACAAGGGATAAACCACTACTCCTGTTAAAAAAAAAACGGTTAGGAGTGTGGACTGGACGATAGGGTAAAGAGCTCAGTCTACGTTACTATTTTCATCTCTACCTGATGAGGAAAGATGAAGAGGTTTTCCGCTATTAATACGAAATTGAACGCAATGGCGTAGTCCATAATTAAAACTCGGCTCAAAGGTTTCGCTTTCTGTGTTGATGACCGTTACGCCACGTATTTATCTGGTTTGGTTTTTAGCATTTTGTTGTGCTTACCAAACTCTTATAAATCTTTCATCAAAGAAAATAAATCGTCTTAGGCATACTCAGAGGATTCAAAGTCTGACCTGGTTTAAGCGCACGCCATCAAGACACTGATCAAAGCAGATCGTCATATATTAACTGGATTTTTTTTTCTCACGCTTAAGTTTTTAAAAATAAATACTTAAATATCCCAATATAAGTATAAGGTATGTTATATTTATGGATTAAAAAGCTTAATATCAGGTTTGGTTTGCTTTGTTTTACGGCATAACAACCTCAATGGGTTATTTAATGCCGACAGTTTTTATTGCTAGTATTTTTTTTTCCAAAAATGTATTTCTGGTAATATATTTTTCCTACAAAAATGGTAATAATTTTTACAAAACCTATACTTTCATAGTGTTTTAACCGCAGTTTGGTTAGAGGCTTTGCTGTCGGACGAAGTTTATCGTCTTACCCAGGGATACAGCATCTGTAAATATAAAAGTGGACATTGACGTCAACACCCTGCGACGACACCCTGTTTAATGATTATACGCAATTGTGACGATCGAGATATATATATATATATATATATATATATATATATATATATATATATATATATATATACAATGTTACAGGGTGTCTCCTAAAAATGATGTACTTACTCTTTAAATGACAATAAATGCAGTGTTTATTGACTTACAAACAAAATTTATGGTTAAAATTAAATATTAGATGAACTTGTATACATGTTTATGAATATTCGAAAAGTGAATGCATTTTTGTGAGACGTATGTGTGTCGGATTAAATAAATTAGAGACATTATGTCTGCTTATTTATAATAAAATCCATTCATATTCACGGATACCCTTCCGTGTATTGCAATTTAATGATGTGAGAAATGTGCCACAACTATGAAAATCGTTTTTATTTTCCATTTCCCAAGTACTTTCGATCTTCTTCCGAAATTATCTTCAGGAGTGTACGTAGTAATACAAAACTGTGTGTTGTTCAGTGGTGCAAGTAGTAATACAAAACTGTTTTTTGCTATCCATTACTGTATTTTTTTTCTTATTTAATCGATAGCAAAAAACAGTTTTGTATTACTACGTACACTCCTGAAGATGACCTCGGAAGAAGATCGAAAGTACTTGGGAAATGGAACATAAAATGATGTTCATAGTTATAGCACACTTCTCAAATCATTAAATTACTTAATCAGACATGCCTAAAAGAGAATTTACTGCCTAAATACGCTATATATATATATATATATATATATATATATAAATTTTTGATTTATGTAGTCTTGCGTGTATTGGTGTTTCATGGAAAAAATACCAATACACGCAACCCTACATAAATCAAAAATTAAAAAAAAAATTAATCAGATTGTCTGACGATCGCAAAAGCGTGAAACCCAAGGCCACAAACTCGCATCCCTCCAACTAAATATGCTAGTTTTATCACTGATATTGACCGCTTTCCAATAAGTACGGCCCATATAATATATATAATGTACTAAACACACTAATATATATATATATATATATATATATATATATATATAAAAGATTTTTCTGTAGGCGTTTCGTCGCTTAGGACGTCATCGAAACGAAGGGACGAAAATGGATGTTCAATAATTTAGCCTTCTGAATACTTTAGCATTCCTCAAATGATACTATATCTGTCACCAATTGGAAATGCCAGGATACCGTAACACAATGAAACATTGTTTGCATATTTTACATGATAAATAAACTGATTTCTTAATAACTACTTGTTTTCCCCCCTTTTCTATAGTACTACTTCGGAATTTACTAGATATGTCTCTTTTATGCTTGCTATGTTAAGCGCCAACCTTAGACTGGTGTTCGGTAAAGGTAATCTCTCAATTACTTTTCAGTTTAAGCCACTTTTATCGTGTCTTTATTGTGGTCATGTAATTAGACTAAATCAAGGTTACTTTACTTGTGTGCGTTCTTACAACGATGGATAATAAGTTATTTTCATATATACTAACATTAGTGGGTGTCATAAATGACAACTTTATGTACAGAGCAGTATTTCTGCTTCAGATCCATTGGTGTTTCTTGAAGTCACAGTGGAGGGGGTCACCTGGGTGCTAATATGTCTTTAAAACTCATTGAATGTGTGAAGAACGTTTTATTTCTACGCTTAACTTTGGCAATTTATACAACTTTCAGAAATTATTTATTTTAAAATATTCTCTTAATACTCTAGTAAATAAAATACTAGTCAGTTTTTCCCCACAAAGAGTACAGGTATTAGTAGCAGTGACATGGTCTTTTACAAGTAATTTCCACAATTCTCAATCGTAATTCTGCTATTTTCATGACGGTTATCAAATTCGTTGAAAAAATATTCTAAAGAAGACAGAAAAAAATCACGAAAGATTTGGATATTTTGAGTTTTTTTTTTCCGGGAAATTATATATATATATATATATATATATATATATATAGTTATAGCCAGTTATTTCAAACATCACTTGAGGATGAGACTGCCATCCAGTAGTTAAGGTTTAATATTGAAATTAAACTTGAATACACATGACCAGTTTCGAAACACATTAATTTCAGTGTCACGATGGAATCATTTTTTTTTTTTTTTAAATAATCTAGGCTCTACTCCTGTATCGAGCACTGTTTTGTTTTTTTATAAATAAAAACAAAAAACAAAAATACTAAAAAACTTCGGATCATCAATCTAACAGTTCTTTCCCATTATCAATATATATATATATATATATACACACACACACACACACTCATATATATATACATATACATATATATATATATATATATATATATATAACAGTGCTCGATACAGGAGTATAGCCTAGATTATAATTAATTTTTTTTAAAAATACGATTCCATCGTGACACAAAAATTACTGTGTTTCGAAACTGGTCAGCCGTATTCAAGTTTAATTTCAATATTAAACCTTAACTACTGGGTGGCAGTCTCATCCTCAAGTGAGGTTTGAATAACTACCTCTCTCTCTCTAATATATATATATATATAATTTACAGTTTCTATTCGTGTTTCTTTTTCTCTTCCTGAAGCTAAAGAATGCTTCTGGCTTCAGTGTGGAAAGAATGGATGATTAACCACTTTATCTAAAATTCGTTTGAACAATTTTCGGCATTAAATCTGAAAGTTGTGCATTGAAATCGGGAAAAGCCAGGAATTAACATTATTCTTTCTTTAAGTCCGTCTTTCAGACGGAATACAGCTGTTTAGTTTATATTACGTAGAAGCATCATTTGCGATTGATACTTTCTAACGCTTATCCCGTAATTTTACCTAAAAAATTCATTGGAAATTAAGAAAATAGCATGGTTATTGATATTGGTTAAGATTGAAAGTGTTAATGACAAAATAAGGCTATTACTAAACCATCTTTTGACTCTTAAAAAATAATTTCCTCCGCAAAATACAAAAACGGCCATTGAATTGTTTGTTGTTTCAGTTAAAAGCTATTTTTTTTATTTCTTTCTGTAAACAGGTAATTCAATGTGCCGTTTAAAAAAGAATAAAAAGTGTTCGATTTTGGGCGAAATGTTCGTATTTAAAGTTTTCTCCGTAAAATCCTACTTATTTATTTTATTTACCTCCCTCCCTCATTTACGATCCCCTAAAAGTCATTGGCGAACGTACGAGACAGTCGACGCTCCGCGGCATGGAGAAGCAAGCGAATTCACTGCTTTCAAAATCCGCGACAACCAAAAGACCCATTTTCAAAGCAGGCGAGAGAGAAGTAAAGTGGGTGACTGGAGAGCAAGGCGGAGGCGAAGGAGAGTAAGACAGTAAGAATGAAGAGGCGGACGAGTAGAACGGCAGTTATTAGAGCAGGCGTGCTTGCTCTTCACTTGCCTGCCTGGTTGGATGGATGGCTGCGAGGTAGGGGATGAGGGGGGGGGGACAATAATAGCATAGCTTAGCGACATCAGTTCCTTTGCATCCGAAATGGTCTGACGTACGCGACGATGATGACGACAGGAAGGAGGAAGTAAAAAAAAAATAAAATAAAATAAAACATACTTTGCGTATCTACCTAACAAGATCCGTACTTATCTCATTAATATACGTACCCTGAATATATATATATATATATATATATATATATATATATATATGAACACAAAATATGTGTGTTAACAATGCGTAAGTAAAAGGGCTAGTTAATGTACATATACGTATGAGACTATACGATATGGTATGTACGTATATCGTAGGTAGGTGCATGTGTACGCATTGCCTGCTTTTTTTTTTTAACATTCGCAGATATAGCAGTGAAAGTAAGAGAAACTGGCGTATGAGATTTGTTGTAAATGGAATTGATAGCCGAGAATGAAAGAAAGCAAAGGTTGCCAGTATGCTTTCAAGCAATGTAAGGAAGGAGAAAAAGACTTAATTAAAATGTCTGTCCGTCCGTCCGTCGATCGTGTAAACGATCTACGCCAGCAAATACACACACACACACACACACACACAGCAACAGCCCGAAAAGAAAAAAAAAAGAGAAAGAAAGGCGAGGATAATGTTATTTTGCAAAATGCGTAGAAACTCTCTTAGAGACGCATACGTCTCGGACTTAATGTTGATTTTGTAAATAAAGCGAGCACAACTTACACATACTTTATTACCAAACACGATCTTGCTATGTCTATAATTTTGAAAAGAGTCATTAATATAGCCAACATCATTCGGATTCTCAGATCTCTTATATACAATATATATATATATACATATATAATTTGCAGTTAACAAAAAAAAATCTTTCGCACAATATATTCAGTCTTCAATTCTCGTTAGATGTTGCCCGTAAAGAAAGCGGAAAGAGAAAAAATACCTTAACTCTAGAAAATCCCAACTTTATTCGGGCAGTCAATTTCTTTTTCTGCAACGTTTCGACTCTTCCACTCGTCAGTGTTTTCTGGATATAGAATCTTCATTTTCTCACAGATTAAACTTGAGAAACGTTAAAAATAACAATTTTCCGTTGTATCGTTGTTTACATCAGCAAACGAGGATTATTTGTCTTTACAATGGTAATAAGCAACACTGTTTCGGGTTTTCAAAACAACGGAAAGGGAATTCTATAGCAGCCGATTATTCTATACGTAGGATATAGCAGGTTGATAAATATACCAAATTTTCACAATAAAATCGTCATTAAACCAACCAACGTGGAAAAGACTTTCACGCTATATTTATGAGAAATATCCCATATCATGGAGACTCCGTGCCTTGACAGTCTATTGGGCCTTAATCTCACCCCTGACCTCACGTGGAACTTATACGATCCATGGCTAAAGATGCAGGAAAAATGGTCGGTTCCCGTGCCGTTCTAGTAAGTACCTACCCCTCGTGATATATTTTCCTTTACAAGAGTCGGATTATGCCTAGAATGGAGTCCTGTTGCTATATTTGGATGGGGGCTGCCCAGTCCTCACTTTCCAGTCTCTGTATAGTCCAAAAGCGTCTCTGTGCTTATAGGTGACATTATTTTCCACGTTCCACTCTCTCTCTCTCCTACAGGCGGGAAAAGGCAAGCCTCTTCTACCTCTCTCTATCGCTATTTACATTGAAAATGGTCGGATGGACTGTATTCCTTGGTTCAGCCAATTCTAACCTTCACAGCCAGGACCAGCCATGCCACTCACATTGTGTCAAACCACCCTCATTTCCCCCATATTCCATCGGTGATAAGTTCCACTTGGACAGCTTCGTCCCGTGAACCACTGTTCTGTGGAACCGACACTCAAGAAGACGGTTTTCCGATTACTACAATCTTAACCTGTTCAAGTCTAGGGTTAGCCGTTAGCACTCCCTCCTATCTGCATAAACTGCCTCTTACTGTAACCCACTACTTCGAGTGACCCCTGGGACTTGTACAGGGTGAAACACACTGTAAAAAAAAAAATTATAAAATATTCGCGTGTCTGAGTGGTCAGAATGTCCGATTTCCAATCATGAGGCCATGGTCGGTTTGTCAGGAAGGGGGACCCTGGTGTTATCCTGACTGCGGAGGCAATCGCTGTGTGCGGCACCGTTGGAAAGCTTTTGAAAAGCATACTGCAGGTTGACCCAAGTGACATTGAGTACACTGGCCTTGTTCACGCCAAATGATGCGTTATCTCCCAGAAACTCTAACTAATGTATCGTTGCAGCATGGACCCTGTAGGTGTTGAACAAACACAAATGTGTCTGTTTCATTCTCTACAAACGGGATTGGCTATCCGCCTTAGCAGACACACATACTTGGAAACGAACAGCCAACCATTACATTATACAAATTTCAGTTTGTATTAGAAATAATTCGTTTTACTGTTTTACTTCTGAATTTATGACGGGGTCAGTTATCATTTGTGGCCGCTTCCGCTGGAGCTGATTGTTTCATTACTTCGCAATTAGATCGATCAGTGTTTCTCTCTCCCTCTCCCCACTTCTCCTCCCCTTTCTCTCTCTCTCCCTCCCCTTTCTCTCTCTCTCTCTCCCCCTTTCTCTCTCTCTCTCTCCCCCTTTCTCTCTCTCTCTCTCCTTTCTCCAAAGGGTAATACTAAATTTATTCTTAATTGTCCTAGTATTATATTTTCAAACAAAGAAAAGGTTTTTAAAATTAAATTTTCTTTTTTTTCCCATGTGTATACATTTTTGACAGTTGTTCCTCCACATAATAACATATCTATACTCTGTCCACCGTAAATTTAGCAACTAAATGGGGCCCATCGCTAATTTCCCTGTTCACAGCGTATAATTTCGACTCGAAATTTTTGTTTTTCTTTTTATATAACAGAAAAGTGTACTTTTGGTCCGCACCCCTCAGATGTTTATTTATGACATGGACTGGTAGGGTGGTGCGCGCGGGCAGTTCCTTACATAAAAAAAACTCTGTTTCCGATCCTCCTCTCTCTCTCTCTCTCTCTCTCTCTCTCTCAAGGCGAACTCCTTGTAAATATGTGATTTAGTTGATATAAAAAACATGATCACACGTATGAAATTTATATATAAATAATGAAGATATTGGCGTTCCGCAGAACTTGAAACAAAAGGTTAGGAAGGGAACCAACGTCGTTAATGGACTATTTTCTAGAAAAATTGTTTTAAGGGGAAAATTTTTATGAATTTTAGCCGAAAGTATCACTGGCTGCTCGATCAATGAATGCTGAATGTTTCCTAATAAGGAAATTGATAATCTTAAGTTTACGGTAGACGCTGTTAAATGTACAATCCAAGATACAATCCGAAAATACTTATTACCATAGTTTGTGGTGCCACGGATCCTGTCTCAGCTTCGCGACGATAAACAGCAGCAAAGGTTGGATGACTCGGCTACCTTCGGTCTGGAAACGCAATCTGATACAACCGTGCAGCCTCGCGTCCATTACAATTCGCGCGGACGTATTTAAAAATCATATCTGCCTGCTCACAATATGAATATCCTGCCATTGTTAAACGAACACTTCTCAGTTACCTCACTACTACATAAGTTAAATGTTGAAGACAAACCACAAATGTACACGAATGACAAATGTAACTTAGTCTACATGTCAACACAACGCCATCTACCGTAAACCTTTTTTAAACTTAAAACCGAAGGATCTGCGGACATATGTTTATATCGACTTTTGTCCTTGTTTAGGGTGAGGAAATTTTGTAAAAATATTTTTGATACACTATATATATATATATATATATATAGTGTGTGTGTATTTTTGCAGAAATCTTTCTTTTATACAAGTTTCGTTAAAGACGAGTGACAAGATACTGCGAGACAAGATAAGCTTTTTATTTTATTTTTATTGTGTTTGTACAAGTGTAAAAATTGTCCAAAATTTCTGCATATCCGAGCGCTTTCGGCTATTCTTTCAGCGTTTATCAAGGATGATTTTTAACTGAATGCGTGTATTTAGAGGAAGTTAAAGATATGTTTTATTTTCCAAAGTCAGCACGTTCTGTCCGTGTTCATAGTTAATGATAATTCTGATAGCTTTATATGCATAATCGGAAAACCGAGTTCCAATTCCAGTTGGGTTTGTTATATTCTCATACGGGCAGATACCCTTCGGAAAAATTTGAAGCAATGGGTTAATTATTGTATCAATAAATCAGTATTATCTAAAAAAAAATAAATAAAAAATAAATGGAAATGCTTAGAAACTGAAAATATCTTCTGGCTTTAAATTACCTACAAAGGGTTGATAAGCCGTAAAAAACGAATCAATCAGATACCGTATATACGTGAGTATATACGGTATGTGATTGTATATACACACATAACATGCGGTTTTTGTAGCCCTAATTTTTAAGCTAATTTTAGGGGGGTCGCATCCTACAGGTTATAAAAAAAAAAATTAGCGTATTCTCTGATGGCTCAGGCTACGGCGCTGACCAAACTATATATCCACTTCAGTTATGTGTCATGCGTGATACACGCTTAGGCGATCATGTATCTTTTGATACATGACTGACGAGGCAGATTTTTCCCGCAGTAGGTTGTCATTTCTTTCTGCGGTATGTAGACCAGTTGCCATCCGAGGCTATAGAACCCCGTCTGTCCTGCTAGTTACCCATAGCTAGGGGGAAGAAGAGGATTCATATCTTTCCAAGGGTATTAGCTCGTAAGTGAATGTAATTGATTCGACTGGAATTCAAACTCTTGCTCTCCAAATCCGCAATCGGAGCCGCTATCCATTACTCCACCCCTATATTCACTTACTGTAGTCAAATTAGCTTCAAAATTAGGTCTTCAAAGGTCACATGACACCTGAGTATATACGGTAGTTTGAGAATGAATGTCACGTTGGTAACTTGCTTACTTGTCGAAAATATTTTCTTTTAAATTCCTCTTTCCAGTCTCTCTATTATATATATTATATATATATATATATATATATATATTATATATATATATATATATATATATATATATATATATATATATTATATATATATATATATATATATATATATATATATATATATATATATATATATATATATATATATATATATTATATATATATATATATATATATATTATATTATATATATATATATATATTATATATATATATATATATATATATATATATATATATATATATATATATATTATATATATATATATTATATTATATATATATATATATATATATATATATATATTATATTATTATTCTATCCTCAAAACTTTATTAAATTATTATTTTTTGTCTCGTCATGTCTATTGGTGTGGTGTGATTTTTCAGCTATCGATTTTCCATGCTATTAGTTCTCTTGTCTGGCAATGACCCGCCTGACATTGAACAAAACCTTTTTTTTATCTAGATATCCTTGTCTAATCACTAGTGTTTTTTTTTTTTCTTTTCCTTTTTTTTGAAATTCTATTGATAGCAGTCAACCTAGTGTCCACTATGCGAATACGTCCTGATTTACGTCTTTGTCGACGTTCAGAATGTCACTGAATCAAAATAACAGTTTGTTCGTTGAAATTCACACTCACTGGATTCTTTAGGCCACCGGTAGCCCAAGTCACATACCAAAATTCGCAGAGATAATTTTTTGATTTCCTCTAAACCCCTTCCGGCATTATAAAGTGCATTTTGTTTAGGGTTCATTGTTAATGACCTTCGATACGATAACGCGACAATGGCAGTGAAGGTTTTATTTGATTTTAGACGCTAAGCTATCTTAAACACAGAGCGACCAATGAGCGGTTGGCATATTTGATAAACCAACTCTGTGATTGCTGACTTTAAATATCAGTCTGTAAGCAATTCCAAGTTATACACTACGTCCTGAATATACAAGTCCTCTAGGAAGTGAACTTGCCTCGATAAAAATAATCCCGGCAAACATTGGCCAAAAAACGATTTCCAGTGAAAAATTGAATTAAAAAAAAAAAATACAATCCAATGTTTTAAAAAAAACTTACTCACTTTTATTAATTAGACATTGAATTGTATCACTTCATGTCCTCCATACCTCGCCTGACTTTTCAGTTAATCTAGTGACTATTTATGAGCGTTTCTATAATTAAATTTAAACGCATATATATATATATATATATATATATATATATATATATAGGGTATTGCATCGAAAACGTGTTTTTGATGCAATATCCTAAAATAAATAATATTTATTCCGCTTTTTGTTAAGTCCTCTTTTAAATGTTACGGATGTGGAAATTGTACTTTATTCGTTCAAATCTTACCTGGATGGAGATATATATCCCTATTTTTTTCTGACAGGGTTAAAAAAATGTCTTCCCATGATTCGAATCTTCCCCGAAGGCATATTTTCATTAAGACTCTGGAATGGAATGCACAGGCCGTTAGACATTAATTTTCACAGTTAAAAAAAAAATAAGAATAAAGACAGATATGTACACAAACATGTTTTTATTGTTATTAATATTATTTCTACAGTTCCAAATACTCTGGTGCAAAATCCAAATTTATAAGAACCGATAGACAACAAAGATTTACGCTATAAGCCTTCTGATTATATCCTCATCTAAACGCACCTATATCCGTCGGAGGCAGACAGACTGATCGACTGTAATAGAAAGTAGGAAAGAAATCTACTGTTACGATCGATGTGGCTGGAATTGAAGATATCGGAATAGTCTTTTGGTATTGCTGTAGCGCATGCGGTGGGATGCGGGTGGGATTTTTTTTTAATACCCAATCAATAGTTGTATTTCTAAATTTGCTGGTACTGTTTCAAGACTTAAAGGCTTAGTTTTTATTTTCTACTTTCTAGCGTGCTTCATATAAATGGTAGTTTTATTAGCGCTTTAAAAACGGACATTTTAAAAGTGTGGGTATATATATATATATATATATATATATATAAGAGATAGACAAAATGTCTCACAAACTCACATCGACACAAATAAATGTTACCGCTCTCAAATAAGTACCGCATATATATATATATATATATATATATATATATATATATATATATATATATAAATAAACCTAGTGAGCCAGACAAACCAACCCAGGTTTTACCTAAACGGATCCGTTTAGGTGAAACCTAGGTAGGTTTGTCTGCTCTACGGTTGTATTGAGCTCTTTTGTTAGTTAGTTGTTTACTCGTGTCGGGGTTTTTTCTTTGGAGTTCAAACCTGTATCTGTGCAATGTTTTCGACAGACTTTCATGTTTCTAGCTCTTTCTTTTTTTTTTTTTTTTTTTTTTTTTTAACTTTTTCCCTCAAGATTGATTTGATTATTGGCAAATCAAAAATTCGAAAGTTTTTCGAAACGAGTATAGTTACCTATATTTGTATATATGTGCACGCACAGTGTGTCCCCCCGCAAAAATATGTGCTCAAGTTTTAACTTCCCATAACTTCTTGATTGTTTTTTTTATGTTCAGATCCATGCAATTAATTTCATTTAATATTTAATTTAAACCGTTAATCTTCTTTGTCAAAAGAACCATTACTATTTCTTAAATTTAACCATTTAATCTTGTTTGCAAGTCAATAAACACTGTATACCGTCATCCTGATTCTTTTTTATTTTTCTTCTCACTCCTTAGTAATGTTTCCACTTTCTAATTCTTCCATACCCACTGGCCTCTTGTGTCTTAGTGGCTTTGCTACCTTGCTTGAAGTGAACTCAATTTAAAAAAAAAATCTCTACTTATTAAATCTATCATAAGCAGAAATGATTGAGAGAGAAAAGTTTTATTTCTAGGTCAAAATATTAATTCATATATGATTCATCGTCATTTCACCTGCATCGTATTAGGTGCATGTGTGTTGGTTATCACTTTTTCGTAATTGAAATTGTTTGTATAATTTAATGCATCTTCAAGTTTAATTTCATGACTTTATCTTTGTTGTTTTAATATTTCTATGTAAATGGAATTGCTTTTCACACTCTCACATACACGTCTTATAAACTTTTGTGTTTTTTTTTTGTTCAAATCCATGCAATTAATTAAATTT